TCTTATACAATACTTACCTAGAACTTATCCAATGTACGCCAGCGTATTTGCCAAATTTTTCATACGTCCGCATACGCTGGCTAAATCGTCAAGGTGTGACAGCGGTTTTAGATGCTGCCAACATATTTGTTAAACTGTAAACAACCACACCTAAAAAATTTGATAAATATTTTATGCTAGCTAAATCATCAAGCTGTGACAGCGGTTTTAGATGCTGCCCACATATTTGGTAAACTGAAAACAACCACACCTAAGAAATCTGATCAGTATCTTTCTCTCGACGGTTTGTCCTTTCATTAAAATTATATCCTTGTTCCTCATCACACACTCTGTTACAGCTAGTTTGATTTTAGACTCAGTTTGAAATTTAACAAAAAGAAAATCACTTGCAATAAATATTGATTTTATCCAATGTTTTATTTAGTTATTTATTTAGCAGAAATTCCTTATGGACAAAATCAAATATATCATAATATAATTTATAATATAATACAATATAATACAATATAATATAATATAATATTATATCATATTATATTGTATTATATTATATTATATTATATATTTATTTATTTATACACACATAGGTCAGTCCGTATGAAATCAGCAGTTTTCATGGAATCTCCCCTATGAGCCATCTCAGATTTGGCTGAAAAAAATTCCATAAATTTCTAAAAATGACCAAATGAAAGAATCTCAAATTTTAGCTCAATCCCTTGAGTCGTTCCTGAGTTATGGCCCGTTGAAATTTTGGGGCCATGCTCCCTTTTTTGAAGCCTTAATTTATATGCATGTTTGAGAGATCATAACTTCATAGAAAATAGAGCTAGGAAGCTGAAAATTTGTATTTCTGAGCTTTAATGTGGACGGTGTAGAGGTATAATAATAATAAAAAAAAAAACACTACATTAACATCTACAGTTAAAATACATTTAATACATCTATTTGTCATGTGTGAAATGTATATTTTTTAAATAAAACCTGAAGCTATAAAATAGAGCTGTTCCAATCACCACACCTATCTTAAATTCAACTTCCTTCTCTAATAATGGCCCTGTCACACCTTGACGATTGAGAAAACGTATGCCGATGTACCAGAATTTCCCTAAAACGCTGGCATACGCTGAACCATCGATGTTTTTTATTTTATTTTGGGCATATACATAGTGTATTCATAGCGAGTTGGACATATACATAATGTATTAGTAACTTATAGAGAACGTTTTGATAACTTATCGATAACTTATACCAAATAATGCTGAGCGCGTTGCCAGCGTCCATAACTTATGCCTAACGACAGTCTAACCTATGCATAGCGCACGGAAGCGTATTGCCGACGATCACGTCTCGTCGCCAATTAAAAGGCTGCCACTCGACAGTTTAAATCATATCATATCAATCTCTCTCTGTATATGGTGCTGAATGCAACAGATCCATTGATAGGTCAAAGCAGCGGGATCTGTCTGCAGACCACAGGCTGTAAAGTTGTGAGTGCAATCGCATCAGCTGTTTCCTGTCTACAGTAAAACCACTCGCCACTGCACTTCTAGATCTCAGAGCTCTGCACTTCTAGTTTAGATATAAGACAAAACTGAGTTATTATTATTTGTGAAATGTGGTGCAAGGTGTGACAGCGGTTTTACATGTTGCCAACATATTTGTTAAACTGTAAACAACCACACGCCAGCGTGCTTCAGCGTGCTCATATCTTTTACAATACTTACCTAGAACTTATCCAATGTACGCCAGCGTATTTGCCAAATTTTTCATACGTCCGCATACGCTGGCTAAATCGTCAAGGTGTGACAGCGGTTTTAGATGCTGCCAACATATTTGTTAAACTGTAAACAACCACACCTAAAAAATCTGATAAATATTTTATGCTAGCTAAATCATCAAGCTGTGACAGCAGTTTTAGATGCTGCCCACATATTTGTTAAACTGAAAACAACCACAGCTAAAAAATCTGATCAGTATCTTTCTCTCGACGGTTTGTCCTTTCATTGGCCCGAGCCAGTAACGTAGTAACTGGCTCGGGCTATTGTTCTTCGTCGGTTTCTTTTTTTGGCCCTCGCCCCAGGGGTATTGTTGTTGCCCTCGCCACTAACAAAGTTAGGGGCGACGGGTATTGTTCTTCATCGGTTTCTTTTTTTTATTCCTTTTCCAACCAAATGATCGCATTTTTGACTCCCTGAACATGCATGCATTATTATGAGCAAAAAAAAAAAAAATGGACATGGTGCATTTTCCACTGTTGGCCAGCAGGGGCGCAACGACTCCTCAGAAACATTTATAGGTACACTGTGTAATTTTCTGGTGGATGAGCTGTCGGCCTCGGGAGCTGTGGGGAAGAGAGAGTGGTGTGCCTGGGCAGTCGCGAGTCTCCGGCGATTGCGTGGGGGGACGTGCGCGCCAGGGCGAGGGCCACCATCGCCACGCGCGGCTTTAATTTAAAATTCTTTTTCCCCACACTGAATTGCATTTTTGACCCCCTGAACATGGACGAAAAGTCCCCAAACCGGGTTCAGATTGACCGGCCCGGCGAAAAATTTGATAAAATGGGCCTCGCGACAATGACCAAAGTGACCCGACTCAACAGCGCCGCCTAGAATTGGACCCCTATAGGAGTGGGGACAGGCAAAGTTTGTCGCAGGGAAACGAAATTCAGGACAGTGATAGAGAACAATGAGACAAGGCAATAGATGAATTGGAGCATGACCCTATGACGAACAGGAAGTCGGCCATATTGGATCAAACATTCGCCGCCGTTTTGACTTGGGTGTCTACAAAAAGAATCAAGTTCCCGGGGTTTGGTCCAAATGAGCTCACAGCTTTCACATGTGACATCTAGAGACATAAACTCACATAATGCATTAGACCATAGTAGAGAGCTCAAATTCAAATCACAATTGTGTGATCCAGGCCTGAATGTAATGAAATATGAAACATGCTCACTTTTTCTGAAGCCTTAATTTATAAGCATGTTTGAGAGACCATAACTTCATAAAAAATAGAGCTAGGAAGCTGAAAATTTGTATTACAGATTATAATATTATATATAATAGATTATAGATTATAATATAATATTATAATAAATATTAAAATATTATAATATTGGGTATCTTTATTAAGGGGGGCGCTGTGGGCCCCCAAAATCTCACATTTGGATGCTGCTGAATTTTTTTTTCAATTTTTGAGGTCCAAAATCTATTTACTCCAAGCAGATATTTACAAACTAACTGTTGAACCTGAATATTTGAGAGAATGACCATTTCTGACAACAATCTCACACTTTTCTGAGCTTTAATGTGGACGGTGCAGAGTCCCAAATATGGTCACAGACCAAATGTGATCTTTTTGGCTCCTTCTTTGGACCCTCAGTTCCCCATGTGGGCACAGTTAGATGTTGATAATTTTTTTACCAAAGAAACTTTGGCATATTCTGATTAGTTTAAAGTAATAAAAACATCTACTATTAACTTCCTTCATTTCAAACGGAATTCTTGAAAATGAGCTCTCACAGGTCATTTTTGGTGGAGTTTAGGTACTTTTCCACCTACTAGAAAGGTTCAGTTATCTTTAATAGACTTAAACACTATTTGCATGTTATGAGGGGAGACAATTGGAGATTATATGTGGTACATTGCTTGGAAAAGTGTCATTAATTCTTTGAGAAAATTCAACTATTAACTCTGCACAAAATTATGAAAAAATGTTTGTTTGCATTATTTATTCTATTTTTATTTGAGGAAGATAATTTGTTATCTCACAAAGAAATAGCTTTTTATGGTGTATAAGTAAAGCAACAAAAGTTAAGATAGTATTGATGGAAACTGATCAAAGGCAAATTACAATTGGAATACTCATTGTCTGTTAAATCACAAACTCTCTGATTCTATAACCATGGCTTTCAGTACTATATGTATATTATTTTTGGACCAAAATATTACAAGAAGGCAGTAACATTAACAAGGAAAAATGTGATACTGACACAAAAGTTACCAAAATGACAGTAAACTATCTCTATCACCATGGAGACAAGTAGGTGATGACACCAGGCCAAGTAACAAGTCAGATCTGTGTAGAAGCAAGATTGCAGTAAGCATGTCAGCAAATTATGGACCTCATACAGAAAAGTTACATAGCACACCTTTAAGCTTGAAAAAAAAAAAAAAAAAAAAAAAACCCTGAACATTACATACACTATCACTATTGTATTAAAGTGATAGGAGGTAACTTTCTGGGGATGACACATCGCCTGCATAATTCCATGGAAACAGAATGTTAAAACCATACTTCAAAACATTTTCAGTGGAGATATATGCAGTTTGTCTGTAGAGTTGTTTTTAAGCTTTTTGCTTTTTGAGATCAGTTTTTATCATCATATCAAGGGACTGTTGGATTGTGTGAATTCAGATGTTTGTTTTTCCTGTATCCATGAAGAAAGTGCAAGAGGCTAGCTAAGGAGCTAGTTATGGACATTTGAAATACTGCAGGCTTTTTACACCATATGTGGCAGCAAATGTGGCAGAAGACCTTCCAGAGAAAATACTGTGAGGGAATGAACCATTTCGTCACCGACCGAAACAACAGAAGTGATTAAGCACAAGGCCTTTCTGCTGTGGACACTGCTGTGATGCTGTAGGACACAGATGAGGGACACTTTTGTTTCTTCCTCTCCTCAAACTGCCCTGACACAGATCTGCTGACCCTACCTGACCGGTCCCAGTCCTCCAGTTAAACTGAACTGAGCAAAAAAAGCGGTCTTCCAGGCCAAGTACGAGACAAGTTTGAAGAGATGCAAGGACACATTTTTTATATGTTGTCAGTGTAATAAAAACATCCATAATGAAGAAAATATGCTTTTATTGTTTTTTTTAAATGCTCATAGTATGTCTTTAATTGATTGTGGTAACAGATGTTTATGCAAGGACCGATGATATTAGCTTCTGTTAGGCTCTTAAGAAGTAGCTGTGAATGAAGTATAATTAAGTACTCACATTCTTGTTTGAAGGTGAAGTATTCGGTCAGGTGTCTACATTCATGGTTCCCTCTCAGGAGAAACAGTGTCTTTGGGTAGAGGATTTTTAGGGCCCACAGGTACAGCACGCACTGAAGGAAGAGAGAGTTAACATTATAACAACACACATTGGAGGAAAAGAGTTAACACTATAACGGCATGCACTCAAGGAAGAGAGTTAACATTATAATAGTATGCAAGATGAAGGAAGAAAAAGTTAATATTATAACAGCACACACTGAAGGGGTTAAACAGGGAATATGTTAGAAATACAACATCAGATTCAACACTATGGACCCTCACTCTGCAAATATACACACCAATAACAATAATAATAATGAAATGAGTAAAAATTCAGAATGTCACTTGTTGAGTTTTTATTATTTAAAATAACTGATCAGGGTTAGGTGTTCACAAGAGTCAATTTTGCATAATATAATTTTGCGTAGGACTTTGTGACTCATACTCATTGACTATATGGACATAGCTAACATGCTAGCCACCGCGCTCCCAATAGGAAGTTTGCATGTGTTTTCTGGCACCAACTACATTTCACAGTTTATTTCCTCTTACAGAATGTTCTGGATCCTATTGACATCACACGGAATTGCAAATTCTGCAAATTCAACTTATACAACCATGTAATGTGATTTAGACTACAATAAACTGGAGGTTAAAAATGAAACGTAAAAACCGTAAATGAAAATTACAGTGAAAACCCTATGACCTGTCAATGATCATATCATCCTTGTTTCTCCTTACGACATCTATTATATAGCTGAGACACATTTGTATTACTTTATTCTATATTTGATTTTATTTTTATTTTTATTTGTACATATACATTTATATAATTATGCCCTTCTCTTTGTTATTATAATAGATTGTGATGTGTGAGCTACTGTGTTCAAGTAGTTTCCCTTGTGGATCAATAAAGTTTGTCTAAGTCTACATGCCACTATGAAGAGATGGAGCCTATGAGTTTTACAGTTTTGAACGAGAGGACCTATTTCTGTTATTAAGCTGTTTTAAAGTTGTGGTATACAACATGTTAAGGACAGATTTACTGTTGTAATGTATAACCAAATACAGGATGAAAACTCATAATATGTCTTTAAGGTCTGGATCCTAGTTTCAGGTATTAGATTTTTTAGCAATCACCAACTGAGCTATACTGACTGCTGATTCAGTTCATGAAGAACATGACCGCAACCTTTTCCACTCCTGTCAGTAATTTACGTTGGGTCCATCAACTTCAGCTGTTTCATTTAAGCACAGGCTGTGTAATCAAAGCTTTATATTCCCTCTGTATCTCCATGCACATTTGCTCTCCTACATATTTCAGCTCCACCTCCTACATTTCAATCAGGCCCGACCTTGACTCTAGCTTTGTCCTCTGCGTTCTATAGAGACACTAAATCTAAATAATGAACTGTCATGCCACTGCTGTGTACATTACGTCACTCTACACTGCAAAATGCAATATCTAGTAAGTTTAAACTACCCTGTCACACCTTGACGATTTAGCCAGCGTATGCCGACGTAACAGAATTTCCCTAAAACGCTGGCATACGCTGAACTATCGATGTTTTTTTTTTTTTTTCAATTTTGGGCATATACATAGCGTATTTATAACGAGTTGGATGTATAGCCCTACATAACATATTAGTAACTTATATAGAACATTTTGATAACTTATAGATAACTTATACCAACTAATGCGTAGCGTGTTGCTGGCGTCCACAACTTATGCCCAACGACAGTTTAACCTATGCATAGCTCACTGCAGCGTATCGCAGACGATCAGGTGTCATCGACTATACAAAAGGCTGCCCCTCAACGATTTAAATTATATCATATCATATCAATCTCTCGCTGTCCATGGTGCTGAATGCAACAGATCGACGGATATGTAGGTAGGTATAAAGCAGTGGGATATGAGACCACAGGCTGTAAAGTTGTGAGCATGATCGCGTCAGCTGTTTCCTGTTCTCAATAAAACCACGCGCCACTGCACTTCTAGAGCTCAGAGCTCTTCTAGTTTAGATACAAGACAAAAATGAGTTATTATTGTTTGTGAAATGTGGTGCAATACTTTAAATACATGTTTTTTAAAGCATAAAAATCTGAGATAAAGTCCACAGGATGTACAGTCACTATTGCTAATCTGCAGCTTCACACGCACTGGATGTAAACAAACACACATGTGACTCTCGTCTTTTCACTTTCAAAGAACGACTCAAATGGATTAATAGCGCGTTTTTATGGGCTGGATGTCATTATTTGCAGAGGACAACTTCTATGGATAATGCTGGGTGAGTAATAAAGTCTTCTTATTGAGCTGGCGCAATGAATGGGTTGGTTATTTATTTAGGCTATATGATGTTCTCCGCAGATCGCCTACATGACGCTCTCTTTTAAAATGCAAATACCTGTTTCTCATGGCTCTCAGTGAGGACATTTTCCCACTGTCTGATATCCTCTGTGGCTGAAGTATTCTCTGATCAAGTGCTTTGCATCGGCTCATATGATAAATGGAGGAAGTCTGGAGGAGTACTGACAGTTTCCTCCCCATTTTTATACAGTATTCCAATTCCCCTAAATGCTGCCAATACACCATTATATGGAAGCTAGAAGTTAGAAACACGTTCAGTAAGTTCTGTGGTCGTCTGGAACATGTCAAATACATCTGCATACATCAATGTGCATTGGAGGTAAGTTTGATATAAGTCACACATAGGTTCAAAGCACGTTACTCATAAGTTATGGGAACGCCAGACATTATCTCAGTATGTTTGGATTTATGAGTAACTTACAATTAATGTGTGTCAACGATCTCATAACTTACCTACAACTTATGGCCCATGTATGCAGGACGTATAAGCATACGCTGACATATATCGAGAAATTTTCAGCATGCCCCAAATTTTTTTAAGACCTTGCCGTATGTCGATGCATGCCAGCATGCTTCAGCGTGTTCATAACTTATACAAAACTTACCTATAACTTATCCAACATAAACCAGCATATTTGCCAAATTTTTCATACATCAGCATACGCTGGTTAAATCATCAAAGTGTGACAGGGTCATTAACAAGAGTAGTAGAGCAGACTCAACAATATTTTTATTTAACCTTTATTTATCAAGGAAAGTCCTACGGAGTTTCAAAGATCTTTTTTTCCCAATTGGGTCTTGGGAAAGTAAAACAAGTACAAATATTTACAATTATGTTTTTTAAATTACACAGTTACACATGTTACTTATTTTAAGCTAAGTTAATAGTTGCTGTTTTTCTTATCTTGAGTGTAAGAAGGTGTATTTTTTTAATTTTAAGTACATAAAGTCTTGTTTCATTGGTAGATATTTTTACTTGTTTAGTGAAATATACTCAAATGATGATAATAAATTCTTAATAAAAGTCATTTCAACTTAGCTCCCTTTTACTTTTTACACTGTAGAAAGGATTTTACTGTGGTGACAGCTAGATTATATCTGGTTTCATGATGGACTATGAGGTCAGGATTTCAGTTCAAGGTCTTGGACTCCAGCTGGACGAATGTGCAGTAATTTTAATATGTTATACAAATGACTGTAACAAGGTTGGATCACATGACTGGAGGTCTGAAGGGATGGGCTGTCAAGGTTAGGTTACCAATCCATCTACAGCAGAAGTTGGTTTAAGAAATAGTGACACCCAATCTAATTGTTTGTTCATTTTTTTATTCTAAAATACCAGTCAGGGTCGGACTTGGCTCTTTTAGTGTCCTAGGCAATTTTTCTGATGGTCGCCCCCACCCAGTTTATAGATAGTCTGAAATTTGTTACTTTCCCAAAACCTTTGTAAGTATTAATTAATGCATTAATTAGGGACCCTGAATAAAATTCGGATTTGGTTTGTATCTGAAAAAGCACTAAAATGGAACAATCAGTAGCATCAGCGGTTAAAAACGTTTAAAAGTGATAACAATATCTGGAGTCCCCTCCGATCACCAATAACTGATAACCCATCCCTAATATATATGTGGCTAAAGGACTATCATTCACAACTGTGGCTGTGAAGGCATTGGTAGTATCAGACCACTACAATTTAGAGCATTGATTCTAGTGTTTGCAGCTTCTTCACATCACAGCCCCTGTCCTTAAAGTGTCTAATAGACTCTGAGCTCATTCAAGTGCTACAGCCTTCGATTTCAGCATCACCAGGCACAGGGCAATAACGGGACAATGTCTTTACCTGACAACCAAGTGAATATAGCTTTAATCTTTTGAATGTCTGTGTCTGTTGTCTGTTAGGTTTAATGTATTGTAATGTCAAGTAATGTGTCTGTCTTTTGTCATCACTAGAAAAGTTGTGTATCTTAAAAATTTTTGGTCCGATATAATTTTTTAACAACTCTGAGAGAAAAATGACGTATGCGTTAGAGTTGTGAAAGGTTGTATTCACTGACCTCGATGCTGAAGTAGCCTCGGTCCACATAGTCACCCAAAAACAGGTACCGCGTGTTGGCAGGAGACCCGCCCACTTCAAACAGCTTCATCAGGTCAAAGAACTGTCCGTGAATGTCCCCGCACACTGAAAGAAATGCAATGTACACAAAATATTAAAGCAATAAATCAACGAGATGCCTGTTCCCCAGCTTCAACTGAATGTGTTTATGAAAGATGAAAAAAACGTCCTGCCCACAGGTCAAGCATCACAGTAGTGTGTGTGGGGTAGTGATGGGAATCTGTCTCGCGATTCAAGTGAATTACAATTATGATCCAGGAATGATTATCGATGTGCCAATGCATCTTTATGTTTTATTATGATTTTACTGTGGACAAATCAAATTAGTAGCTACTTTTTTAAATGTGCAGAGCTGCAGAATGAAGCAGTTTAACACCATTGCTTTGCATTGCATTGTTTTTCTGTGACAGGGATTAGTTTAGCAGGTGGGAGATTGGTGTTAGCACATCCACCACAGAGTAGTAGGTACATATTAGCAGCTCTTCATGCTACTGTATCTGTTTCTCTGTAGACTTTTAGAAGAAAGCACACACACCTCTGTCCTCTGTGCTTAGTTTAGAACAGTTCATTTGCGCATTCTGAGCTAAGAGTGTGATCACAAGTGAAGGCCAAGTAATCATTTTTTAAAGAAATCATTAACCATGATTGAAAACTGATTTTTAATATTTTCTAAATCCCATGAGTACCTGCATTTGTTTTGAAAAAATCCATATAATTCACTCGATGGATAAGTGTGGTTGTTGTAGCACTGGGCCCATATGTGCTGCCTGTGTGAATGAAAGCTGAGCTGCAGAGGAGTTTGCTGAGGCAGAAACTCTACATCTGTTTGACTACAGACCTGTCAGAAACACAACGCAACAAAAATTAACAGAGATGGATTAATAAGACAGGTGAAGTAGGAACTACTTTAGTTTACTCAAGAAATTCAAGATTCATTCATCTTTTACTCACACTTTTCACTGAAAGTTTGTAGTTTACATTGGGGCGGGGCAGTACGGGCCGCAAGTGTCTCCAGTGTGTAAGTGAACTGTGCACCTGTGTGAGGGTCTGATGCAGACCCTGGAGGGTACTAGCTCTCACAGGGGACCAACACATCACAGATCACTTTATAAATCGTAATCGTATAAAATAATAACTAAGGGAGTGTGGTGCCATCCATAGCATTCGGCTCGAGCCAGATGAAGCTTTAAGAGGCTAGCAGTTGTAATTGTAGAGTGAATTTGGAGCCAGTTCCATTTTAGGAATAGGAATTTATTTATCGTCAAAATAACAAAATAAAAACACAAGGATCATGTAGAGGGAGTTAATACAAAGTTTTAAGACTAAAATAAGTAGAGGGGGTGATGTTTTCTGTCTAGAAAGTTAGCTATGTCCTTGTGATAAACTGCTGAAGTAGTTTTGTGTTTATACTACCTTTAGCCTAACCTCACAATGCCACAAACTAAATGTCTTTTTGTGAATCACTGAGATCGGTCTTACAGTTACAAATTTAATATGATCCATCCTTCCATTTTCTTCTGCTTATCCGGGGCCGAATCGCACGGGCAGCAGTCTAAGCAGGGACTCCCAGATTTCCTTCACCCCAGACACTTCCTCCAGCTCCTCCAGGGGAACCCCAAGGCGTTCCCAGGCCAAAAGAAAGCCATAGTCCCCCCAGCGTGTCCTGGGTCTTCCTGGGGACTCCTTCCGGTGGAACACATCACGAGGGATGCGCCCAGGAGGTATCCGGAACAGATGCCTGATCCACCTCAACTGGCTCCTCTCAACGTGGAGGAGTAGCAGCTCTACGCCGAGTTCCTCACATGTGAACAAGCTCCTCACCCTATCTCTAAGGGAGCGCCCAGCCACCCTGCGAAGGAAACTCATTTCAACCGCTTGTATCCACGATCTCATCCTTTCAGTCATCACCCAGAGCTCATGACCATAGGTGACCGGATAGCCCTTAGCAAAGGGCCCCGAACCCCATACTCCCAGAGCACCCCCCACAGGACACCACGAAGGACATGGTCGAATGCCTTCTCCAGATCCACAAAGTACATGTGTGTGGTTGGGCAAACTCCCATACACCCTGGAGCACCCAATGGAGAGTGTAGAGCTGGTCCAGTGTTCAGCAATCAGGACAAAAACCACACTACTCCTCCTCATTCGGCCACTCAAACCCCTCCACCACATTAAGGTGACGATTCAAGGAGGGGTTTAGTCTGAACCGTCTACCCAAACCTGTTTGCCTTGGTACAAATATAATTTAAATACGATTTACATTTTATTTATTACAAACACTTTTGTAATATTTGGGTGAGGCTAAGCCATGGAAACTAAACTTGGCTGGAGGGATCACCACCAAACAGAGCTGCTTCAAGGCCTCAAGCAAACCATGCCAGTGGAAAAGAGGCTTAACAGGCTTCTACAGTTCTGACAGGGTTTTGAAAGTCACTTCCTTATGGGAGGAGCTAACTACACTGAAACTATGAGCATACTCAGTTTTCTTAATTTTTGATGCCAGTCAGGATCCCTAGCCATATCGTGAATCAATCAGGATCTTGGCCAGGAGTACCTATAGCAGAATTAGACAACTGTGGGTTTATAAGTCACTTGACATACACTTATTCAGTAGGAGTAGGTCTTCTACACCGCTCTACGGTGGCCGTTTGGGCTCCAGCCTAATTTTAAACCCCATACTTTTATATTCACTTTAATTTGTGCAGGGAGTTGAAACCTGCCTCTTCATTCTCTTCTTTCAGAGTGTGAAGTTAAATTTTGATTTGACAGAGCGGTGCTCGTCTCTGTGGAGATATTGTCAAAAGGCTAAAGTGATCAGAGAGAATCTTTAAAGAATAATGATCTGGGCCTCCATTAAAAATCAAATTACACTTCACACGAGCGTCATATTTCTATCTGATTAGATGACAAGACTTAGGGGTGGAGGACTTTAGTCACAAATGAATGATCATCAATTTAATCTTTAATAGACTGACTTGTACAAATCTTTCTAGTTTGTCAAATAAATATAAAAATGTATTATTACATTATTTTAATATATTGTTAAGTAATTTTATGTAATGTGCATGTTATATTTGAAAAATAAGATCACGTTCCTATTGCACTGTGTGGTGCTACCTGTAATGTAATCACCTGGGTTTAGGAGGTTTCAGCTGTTGCAGTGCAGAGGTTTACAGTCTTATAATCATTATTTTTAAAGTGTAGGTATTTTACTTCTTTGGAGTATTAAATGCTAACACATAATATATTTACATCATCAACCATGTTATGTTTTATTGTTTTGAAAATGCTATATATGCTGACAAGCAAATATATTCTGTATCGGAAGCTAGCTTCTACTAGCTCAGAATCTCAAGTAAAGTAAAGGCTTACCTTACAGCAAGTTACTATGAACAAGTTATTAACCTGTTTATATCATCTAGATTAGACTGTTCCAATGGCTGTACAGTGGGCTGGACCATTCTCCTCTACAGCGCCTACTGCAGGTTCAAGATGCTGCTACACACCTGCTGACAGGGACAATAAAGTGAGAGCACACTGCCCCTGTGCTATAGTCACTCCCCTGGCTCCCAGTCACATTAGGGCTGATTGAAGATTTTGATGTTTGTTTTTAATATTTAAATGGCTTGGTCCTTGATGTTGTAGTATTTTTATATATGTACTTATCTTAATGTATGTATCTTAATGTGTGCTGGTATATTTATTGTGCTTGTGAAGTGCTTTGGGCAGCTGCTGTTGTTGTAAATGTGCTATAAACATGTAATTGAAACAAAGAAACAAAAAAAGCATATGCGTTTTTAGTTCTTGACCCTCTGAGTCTCCTTTTCCTTTACTAAATTATTGAAACATGCATGGACGGCATCTATTAACTCTCCAGGCACGTTTTTGATGAGGAAACAATGCTGAAACATGGTAGAAAGCTAAATAAAATTCTATTATGCATAATGTCTCCTCTTTAAGTTTGGGATCTCTATGGTACACTGTGGAGGGCTCAGACAGGTATAGTTTGCTGTTGTAATAATATTATAAGTATCTCACCTGTGACCGGCGCCTCGATGTCCAACATGGTGCGCTCCTGTCTCAAGATGGCTGCCCCCTCGTCGATGATGCGCAGCGCCACAGCCTCCTCCAGACGTCCCTCTTTGGTCAGGTGGGCTTTGAGCAGGTCCACCCGGGGCCGGCCCTCTGCGTCAAACACCTCCTTCATGGTGAGCCGGTGGGCCAGGGGAAAGGGGACCGCTGCAGGGACACAGGGACATGGTGAGGTGTTACCATAGTCAGGAAGAATGTGTTTCTTACCCCAAAGTGCAGTCAGCCAATTAAGGGCAGCACCCTTTACCTCAGAATCACCTTCCAAGCCATAGATATAAGTGCACTCCCCCATCATTACAACAATGCCTCAACTGCAGCAGCAGAACCATCAGTCTCCTCAGCCTCTCGGACCCAACAGTGCAGATGTCACAGTCAGAGTCGCTGTCTCCTGGTTAATTAACAAGCTAACTGCCTCTGTCGCCCTTCAGCATCTTCTACTGTGATGTGTAGTTACAGTGATAGTATGTAACTTTCTGGAGGTCGCACGTCACCTGCAGGATTCCATGGAAAGTTACAACCATACTTGAGAACATTCTGCATGGAGACAGGATAAGTTTAATGCCATAATGTGGAAAATTATAGCCAAAGACATTTCCATGGAAACAGGAGGAGCCATTAAAGCATTTTTATAAGATTTTCAGTGCAGTAAAACATTTCTCAATGAGTTTTAACCTGGTTAAAAAAGTCAAATAAAAGAAGAAATAAAATCTATTTGTTTGTTTATGAGACTATTTGATTTAATGTTTCTTCACTATCATTAATAAATAAATAATTTTTTATGAAAATATTTAGAACATGCTTCACAATTGGACCTTGGGAAACACATAACCTGATTACGAATTCATAAGTGTTCTCCTTGTATTTCTGCAGGAGGATGGTAACTTTGCTCTGTACAAGTGGACTCCAGTTTAGTCGACTAACACTGCCGGGAAAGACCCACAACGCATTATTCTTCAGAAACACACACACTTGGTGATGTACACAAAGAACAAAACACCTGTGTGGTGCACTGGGAACTGGGAAAGTGTTCACTGCAGAAATATGCGTCCGACCCTGACCGACCAGGAGAGGCTGGAGTTGGAAAAGGACGGAAGAACGGTCTGGAATAATGACGATGGTGAAGTGGAAGCACAGTCTACTCTCTATCCACATTTTTGAGGCAACTGATTAAATCCTGATGCTAAGGATTTTGTGAGAACTTAGACAGACATAGATATTAGGATTTAAATTAGTTGTTAGTATTGTTGCTAACAAATGAAAACTGCTGCCAGCCTGAAACTCTTGAAAATAGACTATCAGTACAAAGGTTTATGAAATGAGAAAAAAATAATTAAATAAGAGTACATTGTCTTCTTTCCATCTTGTGAAGACTAATTACAATGCAAAATGTAATTAAAATAAACACTTCAAATCTCAGCAGCATTTTCAGTTCAAGTGAGGACATTTCCACTGTTCTACCTTCACTAGAATTATTTGGATAAAGTTTACCTATCTCTACTGAACTAAAGGGAAAAGGTACCTGTTAGATTGAAAACTAACACTTCATGACATAACAAGGTGGAACAGAGCATTTTGAGCTTTGGAGATGTAGACAGACTAATAAACCAGGAATGGAAAATATGTGAATTAAACAAAACACAACTCCAGGTATGTTTTGATGTGGTGGGCGTCATCAAACAATTTCAATGAACCTCAAGTTGAGTTGAGTCATGGCCAAGTAAAACTCTGGAGTCATTTGATAGTTCTGAAAAAGGGACGTGATTTCCAAGGAAAGGAATGCAAAAACCTCCGCCTCTTTCAAGAAAAAGTTAACGTAAACCTCACCCTTATAAAATGGATGAGTGACAACAGCCAAGACACAGACGATTCTGACTCTTCACTTAAAGCTTTCAGCTGTACCAGGTAAGACACACATTTTTCTATACTTCTTTCTTTCACATTCAAGAATATTTTACTCTTTAAATATTTCAATAGTACATGAAGTTTTCAATGATTTTCTCTTTTTCAGAATCATGAGTAAATCCTCCATTAGCACAGAACAGGAGCTGCGCAGAGGGGACTGTCTCGTCAGTAACAATGGGAACTACAAAGCAGTGTTCCAGGTGAGAGGGCTCCATCCTCCGTATGTCCTGTGTGGTCAGTCAGAATTAGATCAGATCACAACTGACAATAAACATCTGAGGAAGAACTACATGGAGACAAGTGATTAGAGAAGCGATTCTAGTCCAAACTAAAACAATCTGTCAGAGCAGCCTCAGTATGTCAGATATACACCCACCTCTGTGTAACAATACAGCCTCGTTCCATTTGGCCAAAGGTAAGTGATGCCTCCAATAAGGAAAATAAATCATACGCACTGGATTCTAATCGCAACACACTCAAAGCTCTTTATAGCGCATCATTCATTCACATACCTGTGTTACGACCCAGAAAGATGAGTCCCAAGATATTTAAAAAGGACATGGAGACCAAATTAAAGACTAGAGTTTTTTTTTTTTTTTCTTCCTTTGTAGATGTTTTTAAACCCAAAAAATAAATCCTTAACCCCTGCCCAAAAGAACCAAGAAAAATTAACAACAGAAAGGTGGACCCGATAAGCGGCCAAACAGAACAAAAGCGTGCGACACTGGGCCAACCCCGTACAGGGCCATAGAAGTCGGTGTCAGTACCTGTAACTAAAGACCAAAAATTCCAACCACCTAAACCCAACAGAAAAGCAAAAACAGGACTAACAGTCCCACCAGGTCAAAACAAAAGGCTAATGGCTAACAAAAAGCTACCAGAACGAAGGAGCAGGGGAGCCAGCAGAGCGGCTCCTGGCGTGGGCGCTTCAGTACCTGCGGCGTGGCGGCGGAGGAGGAGTAGAGAGCGAGAGAGAGAGAGAGGCGGCGCCGGGCTCGCGCATTTAACAGCTCCTGCCGGAAATGAGGATGGAAAAAAACAACTACAAAAACCTTACTTAAAAAACAAAACTAGGGAGAAATGTTCCAAAAAATACAGGCAATAAAAAACAGGGAAAAAACAAAAAGTGCCCAAACGTAACAACCTGCCCAAAGCTACAGCTTCAGAGATCTGATGAGATCGGGCATTTACAAGCAGGTATACGCTCACAAGTATGTAGCTGTTTCACAGCTGTAACTATAATTAATTATAATTAATTATAATTAGTTTATTATTGTAACAATTATTTAATTATTTATAATGATTCTGCATGTGTTTCTTAAGTGTTTTTATGGTCTACATTTTTCCTTCAATTTAAAAATAGATTTTCTGTGTTCTTGTGTGACCTTCTTGGACAATAATGGTTTCATTCATTCAACAAAATTTATATCTGAGTATAGTTTTAACAGAACTACAAAAAAAAAATCTGTTGTTAAAGTCAAAATGTGATCCTTTTTCAGGAGGATGGTAACTTTGTCGTGTACAAGTGGACTCCAGTTTGGGCGACTAACACTGTCAGTACAGACCCCAGACGCATCGTTCTGCAGTCAGACACAAACCTGGTGATGTACAGCACGGACAAACCTTTGTGGTGCACAGGGAACCACAATAAAGAAGGCTCCCAACGCCTGCGTCTGACCATGACTGACCACGGCCGGCTGGAGGTGGAGGAAGAGTGGAAGAGTGATCTGGGATCATGAGAGGGGCCGTGTCAACCAAGAGTAGTCTGAATGTTTTAGTACATTGATATGCTAAACAATACAAACAACAATAAAATATTTCTCGGAATAAATACCAGTCAGTTTCATTATTTTAGAAGTTATATTTGGCAAAAAGACATTAACATGATTGAAAGTAACTGAAGTACACAAGAGGAAGGAGTGAAAGTAAATACATACTAGATTTTTAATATAATAAATATCCAGATAAAAAATCAGTGTTGAACATGATGCATTATCTACATACATGATGCATTATCTACAATTTCAGAATTACCAGTGGTCATTCACCAGCCCCCAGCTCAGCTCAGCACCACAAGACAATGACGGCACTTATAGCATGTAGTAGTAGTTGATGATTTTAGAATATTATTTCCTTAAGTATGCACCTTTACAATTACACAGTAAAGTGTCCTGGTATATTATACTGATATAGGGTTTGTTGGAACTTGGAGCCATATTATTTTAGTTTCAGAGCAGGACTTTAAAGCTGCAGCCGCACTTCCTGGAGCCAACTTCCACTTGTGCATTAGCGCCTATCAGCCCAGGGTCCATTATTCTTCCACTGTGTCTATGACGGCTACAGACGGATCGATCGCAGTCTACCACACACCCACTCTCTCTCTAGCTCTCTTTCTCTCTTTCCGTCTTTTACTCTTTCTCCTCGCCCCCCCCATCATTATGGCCCCTCTCTCTTCTCCATCTCTTTATCGCCCTCTCATAACTTCTCTCTCCCTCTTTCCTCCATCTACTGATCTTTCTTTCTTCTCTCCTCTCCCTCTTTCCTTTCTCTCTCTCCTCTTCCTCTATCTCCCCCCTTTCTCACCCCCTCTCCTCTCTTTCCTCCCTCTCACCTCCTCCCATCTCTCCTCCTCTATCTATCTCTCTCTTCCTCCTCTCTCTCCCCTTACACTTTTTTCTCTTTCATGCTTACACTATTCTCCCCCTCTCTACCTGTAAATTTTTTGTTTCTTTTCGCCTCTCCCTACTTGCCATCTTCTCTCTCTCTTTGGCATCTCTCTCTTTCTACCCTCTCCTTCTCTTTCCCTCTCTCTTTCTCTTCTCTCACTTTCTTTATCTCTACCCCCTCTCTTTCCTTTTACTCTCTTGATCTCTCTCAAACCTCCACCTCTCCCTCTCTCCTTCCTCCGCGTTTCGGCCTTGTATAGATGCAGTTATAATAGTCCTCCCCCTTTCTCTATCTCCTCCCATCTCTCTCTTATCTTTCTCTCGTCTCCCTCTCTCTCTTCAGCCTATCACTCCCTCCCTCCGTGTTTCTGCCTTGTATAGATGCAGTTATAATAGTTGGCTGCAGAGCTGTGGTTGTTTCTAATGTTCTTGTTACATAATGAACGCCCGGGGCTGTGCTGCTGTGAACGGAGGGAGAGAGAGAGAGACGGAGAGAAAGGCAGGGGGAGAGAGCGATAAAGGCAGAGAGGCAGAGTGAGAGAGAGAGAGAGAGAGAAAGGCAGAGGGAGAGACAGGGAGAAAGAGAGAAAGGCAGAGGGAGAGAGAGAGAGCATGAGAAGAGCAAGAGGGAGAGAAAAAGAGCGTGAGAGAAAGGCAAAAAGAGAGAGCGGGAGAGAGAGAGAGAGAGAGAGAGAGAGAGAGAAAGGCAGTGGGAGAGAAAGAGAACATGAGAAGAGCAAGAGGGAGAGAAAAAGAGCGTGAGAGAAAGGCAAAGAGAGAGAGAGAGGGAGAGAGAGAGAGAGAGAGAGAAAGGCAGAGGGAGAGAAAGAGAGAGAGAAGAGCAAGGGGGAGAGGGAAAGAGAGAGAGAGAGAGAGTGAGAAAGATCGAGGGAGAGAGAAAAGCAGAGGGAGAGAGAGAAAGGCAGAGAGAGAGAGAAGAGAAAGGGGGAGAGGGAAAGAGAGAGAGAAAAAGCCAGAGAGAGGGAGAGAAAGGCAGAGGGAAAGAGAGAGAGAGAGAAAGGCAGAGGTAGAGAGAGAGAGAGAGAGAGAGAAGGAGACAGAGAGTGAGAAATATCGGGGGAGACAGAAAAGCAGAGGGAGAGAGAGAGAAAGGCAGAGGGATAGAGAGAGGGAGAGAGAGAGAAGAGCAAAGGGGAGAGGGAAAGAGAGAGCGAGAAAGGCAGAGGGAGAGAGAGAGAAATAGCGGGGGCAAGAGGGGAAGAAAGAGAGAGATAAAGGCATAGGGAGAGGGGGGTGAAAGAGAGGAGGAAAGACAGTGAAAGAGAAAGCTGTGAACAGAGGGAGAGAGGGAGAGAAATGCAGAGGGAGAGAAAGAGAAAGACACAGGGAGAGAGAAAGATCAAGGGAGAGAGAAAAGCAGAGGGAGAGAGAGAGAGAAAGATCAAGGGAGAGAGAAAAGCAGAGGGAGAGAGAGATCAAGGAGAGAGAAAAGCAGAGGGAGAGAGAGAGAGAAAGATCAAGGGAGAGAGAAAAGCAGAGGGAGAGAGAGAGAGAGGGTGGGATAAAGGCAGAGGGAGAGAGAGAAAGGCAAAGTTAGAAAAAGAGAGTGCAAGAAGAGCAAGGGGAGAGGGAAAGAGAGAGAAAGACATAGGGAGGGGGGTGAAAGAAAGGAGGAAAGAGAGAGACAGAGAAAGAGACAGGGAGATGGAAAAAGGGAGAGAGAGAGAGATGCACGTGAGGAGCGCTACCACAACTGTACACAAATGATCCCCGCCTTTAATCAATCTGAAAAAGTGCCATCTTTTTCAGGTATTTGAGCAGAATATGTCTTGCCCCAGTGCAGATGTATTGTATAAACAGCTCATGAGGTCAAAATAAGTCTACTACTGTGTGCTGCTTGTGTCTAGTTCAAAAGTGTTTTATTGTCAGATAATCAGGAGGGGCATGTTAGGATGCTAGTTGTGGTTAGCTTTACTGTAACGGTAAACTAACTGCTCTGGTTTCTGAGAGTTGTGAAAAGTGGTTATAGACTCAATGCAGTGAATAATTAGGACACTCAGAATGCATAAGATAAGAAAGGAATAACATTGCGTAGCAGGTCTTATACATAAATAAAGATATTGCATAAAAAAAATACATTAGCTATTACCTAAATAATACCAGACTTTTAAAATTACTTAAATGGTAAATAAATGGTTCAGATTTCTTTTCCAATGGGCACTCAGAGTAGTTACTCACCTATTCACTCATATACTCACACACCAGTGTACACAGACAGTGGGGGTGAGGAGGGTTAAGTGTCTTGCCCAAGGACACGGCAACAGTACGTACTTGTGGGAGTTGGCATCACACTGTCAACCTATAGTTCAGAAGATTTGACCACTCTACCAACTTCACAAATGCCAGGAGTAGGACTTGTACTGTAAACTTCTGTTAGATGTTATGATATTTAACCCTTCGACTTAACCATGGATAGACCAGGTCCAGGACTAAATCTGATCCAAAGCGGGTCAGAACCAGGTCCAAACTTACACGAAAGGGATTCTTCTGAGCTTTAAGCCACTCCCCCCACTTTAAATGCTCATTATGACGGCACACATGATCTGTGTCACATCTAATGTCTAATTTTAAAGGTCCTATATGACATAAAACTGAATTGTGAGCATATTATAATGTTGTTACCTCCTCAGAAACATACCCAAAGTTGTGGTTTGTTTGAGTAACCCATTATTATTACGTTTGTCTACATCTCCAAAGCTCAAAATGTTTTCAAGTTTACAGTTTACCTTTAGTTCAATAGAAATTGACCAGTAGAGACAGTAGAGATAAGAAATTATCTAAATTATTCTAGCGAAGGTGCATGGAGTTTAAAAACACAGTGAAACACTTTCTTTATTACCACATGATGTAGATCAGAAAGTAGAGTAATATATGCTCTTAAACTTGATCCATTAAGTCCAACAACTTCTGAGGTAGTATCTGAAGACAAAGTTTGACAATCACTCATACAAACTGTTTTAGTACTTAACTATTACCACTTTTTAATGACTACAATACCCATAAGCCCCTTCTCCACCGCTCTCCACTGTAAACTCCACACAGAGAGGAGCGTGCGCCCGTCCTTCCCAGCGTTACAATGGCATTAGCACGCATGAGAGGAGCTGCGTGCTCACAAAGCGTATTGTTCAGAGGGACAGGGGCAGGAGCAGCTCAGCCCCACCAGGACTAACACACATAATGGCCCAGATCCTGGTCTAAAAGTGGGCTTGGTCTCTCCAGCTCCTCTGTCTCTGCACACTTCCACGCTCCCATGTCTGACAGTATATATTCCCATTATACTATTTCAGATCGCCACTGCAGTGTTAAGTGGTGTAGAATGGTTGATTATGTAAAAGACAGTATCGAGCCAGCGAGTGAAAAAGTTTATCCTGTAACACTGTGTAATAAAGTTTGTGTACAGAAGTGTAAAGATCTCCTTTGCCATGGATTCTACCTGGACGACAGGGATTTTACAAACATTTTCAATCTCATTTTTGTCACACATGCGCTGATATAACTCCTAGGTATCAGTAGTGTTGTCACGATACGAACATTTCAAACTCAATTTCAATATGAAGAAATTGACTCAACACCAATTCCTTTACCATGATGATCATAAAAAAAATAAAAAAAACACTCTTAAACAATAGAATGTCATTTTCAGCATTAAAAGTGCACTGTGTAACTTTTCTGGTGGAGAGTCTGCTACCTGTTAATTTGTTATTTTGCCTGGAAAGTTCCATGGTATGACATTAAACATTTCCATTTAGCAATTATTCATTCATTATGAGTGTTTCTAGGGGTGTAACGATATCCAAGTCTCACGATACGATATCGTCACAGTATGAACCTCACGGTACGATATTTATTGCAATATCGTGGGAAAGCTCACGATTAGGGATGTAACAATATCCAAATCTCTTACGATATTTACGCAATATTTCCACAATATACATCTCACTGTATGATATTTATTGCAATATTTTGTGGAGGCAAACAAAACTGTTAATATGACACTTTTTCCTCTTAAAATACCCTGACAAGACTTAATCCAAAGAACTAAGACTTAAAAGTGTTTAAAACTGTTATTTCTTCTTGTAGTCTGC